AGAGGGGGGGCGGGCTGCGCCTGCTGTGGGAAACGGCTGCAGCGTGGCGAGGCTCCAGGGCGAGGGCCGAGAAGAGGGGAAGCGGAGCGGGCCGGGGGCGGCGAGGAACCCAGAGCAAAACGCGAGGGGGGGTGCTGTGCGAATTTAAAACGGGCGGAAATCGGCGCAAGAGGCGAAGGGCAGGGCAGGGCAGGGCAGGGCAGGTGCGAAGGGCCCCGGTTGCGTCTGACCAGCCGGACGGGAGACCCGCCCCAGGGGACCCCTGCAGCGCTCCACCGGCGATCGCGGGCGCCGCTGCCCTGGGAAACTCTTGGCGCGGCTTTTGGTCGCCGGGATTTAGCGGTGCCTCGTCGCATCCTCGCCAGGCTGGTGGATTCCACCCCCAGTAAATGTGGGGGGCCAGTTCGGGACCGCTAAGAGCCTGAATTCAGGCATCGACCTAAACGGTCCTTCCCGGTCGGAAAACGTGAGACAACTCGCGCGGGTGACACGGCTGAGAACCCCCGTCAAGGGTCGCGCGGCGGAGCCAGGAAAGAAAGCCGGATCAGTTCTGGCCGCCGCCCGCGGTGGCTCTGTTCACACAACACGCCGAAGACCTAGATGCTGGATCGTCGCCGTCTGTGCCGCGCTTCCTTAACCGCAGTTTTTTCCCGGGGGGGAAGAGGCGTAACTTAACATGTTGTGCGAATCCACTGGGAGGGGAGAGCAAAGAAAAACCCGACTCAGATGCTCTCCTCCTTCCACCTGACGCCCTTCAGATACCTCGCAGGACAGATCCGATAACCCCAACCGGGAGTCAGTGGAGTGGAAGTCATGGGTTTTGTAATCTAGCCTCGGGGCGGGGGGCACGCCCCCAAGACAAGCAGATTCCGCATGAAGCTGAGCGAGCGGATGTAAAAAAATTCCTCCGGAGCCTGAATTCCTTAGGCGTGATGCGCCCCCCCAGTAAATTTGCCGGGGGGTAAAGACGTGCCAGAGGTGCGGCGGGACGGAAGAAGAGGCGATAAAAGGAATGTTAAGACACACTTTTGTTTCCGTCTGCGCGGTTCGCGGCGGGAGGGAGGCGGGGGGAAAGCGTCAGAGTTGTCGATCAAGCTGCTCGCAAGTGCGCGTCGCCCCCTTTCAACCGCCCCCTCCTCCCGACGGCGTGTCCCGGGGCTCCCTCCACCTGCAGCCCGCCCCGATCCCTCTTTTTTTTCCTTCCAACCCCTCCGTACACGCGGAGGGGAGGCGGCGAAACCCGCGTCGCAGGAGCCCCGCGAGCTCACTCGGATTCCCTCCAGTTCAATGAGAGCGGGAAGCCGCGCCCCTCTTCTCCCACCGCCGCTGTCATTGGCTTCTCGGCAGCCTGTGGCTCCGCCCCGCAGCCCCGGGGGCTACAAAAGCCGCTTCTCGGGTGCCGAGGCCCCACTCGCGGCGGTGGGTTCGTTCCGCGTCGTCTTGTCTGCTGGCGCCTTTCCTGGTGGTGCGTCCCGCGTCGTGTGCTCTCCAGCCATGAAGGTGGTTCCCGCCGCCACCCCCGCGATGTCCCCCGGCCCCAGCTGCGCTCTGAAGGGCGTGCGCCTGGGCGCGGGCGGCGCGGGCGAGCCGCTGCCGCGGTGTCTCTCGGAGCAGAGCGTCTCGCTGTCCCGCGCGGGCGGTCCTCCGCCGCGGGGCTCGCCGCTGGGCCCGGAGCAAGCGGCGGCCCCCCCCTCGCTGCCTATTGACATGAAGGGGGGCTCCTCCCGCCCGGGCCCGCCCGGCCCCACCCCCCTGCC